TTCAAAGTCTCAAACCTGCTTGTGTTCTCTCTGTCCCTGTCTCTCTCTCTCATTTGGTTTTGTTTAGATGGGGTCTGTGCCGGATAGTTTTATGTCACTTTGACACAAGCTAAAGTCATCTGAGAGGAGAGAACCTCGATTAAGAAAATGCCCCCATAAGATCAGGCTGTATTCAAGCCTAGAGGGCATTTTCTTATTTAGTGATTGATAAGCGAAGGCCCAGCCCATTGTGGGTGCTGTCATCCCTGGGCTGGTGATCCTGGGTTCTATAAGAAAGCAGGCTGAGCAAGCTACCAGGAACAAGCCAGTAAGCAGCCTCCTCCATGGCCTCTGCATCAGCTCCTGCCTCCAGGTTCCTGTCTTGTTTGAGTTCCTGTCCTGACTTCCTTTGATGATGAACTGTGATGTGGAAGCATGAGTCAGATAAACCCTTTCCTCTCCAATTTGCTTTCTAGTCATGGTGTTTCAACACATCAATAGAAACCATAACTAAGATAGGATCTGTGGTGATCTGAACAAGAATGGCCACCCAGAGGTGCATTTGTTTGAATGCTTGGTTCTTAGTGGAACTATTTGAGAAGGATTACAGGTGTGGCCTTGTTGAAAGAGGTGTGTCACAAGGCCCAGTGTCTCTCATTCTCTGCCTGTGGATCAGGATGTAACTCCATACTCGCCTACCTCCTTCATGTACGTATGCCACCACCACTGGCACTTTTCCGAAAATGCTGAGGACCGAACCCAAGCCTTGTGTGCATTAGGCAAATGCTCTACCTCAGAGCTGGACTCTCAGCTGCACTGAAATGTTTCTTATCTCATTCTGTTGCAAAGAAATGTTAAGTGGCACAGAAGAGTGTGAGGTAATGCTCATGCAGGGAAATAGCAAGTCCTGCCTGCCTGTCTGTCTGTCTTTCTGCCCAGACTCTTCTTGGATTCTGTGCAGTCGTCCTCCATTCAGGGAATGGGACAGGACATCTGAAGAAAGGATCTTAGTGTTAGATGAGGTAGAGCAGAGTTTCTTTATGCTCAGCTCCTAAGCAATAAGAGTGGCTATTCTAGGAGAAATATTCTGGATTCTAGGACTTCAGGAGAGAGAAGGACAGAGGCACAGGACACAGAATGATGGAGAAACATGGCTTTTAAGGTATTGTCTTAATTAGTTAAGAACTTAATTAATTACTTTTGGAGCTAAAAAAGAGTCTCAATTCTTACCCTAGGTTGGCCTTGAACTGGGTTGGCAATCCCCCTGCCTTGGTCTCCAGGGCACTGGGATTATATGTAGGAGCCATCATGTCTGACTTTGGTTTCCTTAGTTTACAGTACTAAGCCAAAACATATTTCAGGTATTGTCTATTGAGCCCCAACACCACAAGTTCCAAAGACCCTCTCAGACAATGGCTGCCCGAGCTTCTAGAACAGAGGTTCTCAACTTTCCTAATACTACGGCCCTTTAATACATTTCCTCATGCTGTATTGACCCCCCAATCATAAGATTATTTTCATTGCTACTTCATAACTGTACTTTTGCTACTGTGATGTAAATGTCTGATATGCAGGCTATCTGACATGACACCCCTTTGAGAGGTTCGCTTGACCTTCAAGGAGGCCACACTCCCACTGTTGTTCTGGAAGTAAAACTGGCTAAATGGCTTGTGCATGCATACACGTGTACGTTAGTTTGGAGAACACAGAACAAGGGAGGTAGCAGGTACATTTGCCCTGGCCTTGCTCTACAGACTCCCAAGAAAAAACTTGCTGTTAGTTCCAAGCACCGTTTTACAGTAAATTGTAATTTAGAAAGAGGTGTTTACAGTGATGACTGAAAAACAGGAACATGTGCTGGGTTCAGTGGCACACAGTGGGAGTCCCAAGGTCTGCAAGAGACTGGGCAAACAAAATGTTATTAATACTTCCTAAGAAAGGGGGGGCAAGGGGTTGGAGAGTTGGCTCAGCAATTAAGAGCACTTGCTGTTCTTACAGAGAACCCAGATTTGTTTCCCGGCACCCACATGGCAGCTTACAGTTCCAGGGACCCTCTTCTGGCCTTTCTGTATACCAGAAATGTACACAGTACATACATACATATGTACATATATATGTAAGAAATTCAATCTCCCCCCCCCCAAAAAAAAATCAGGAATACTTCATTATTTACACATGCTAGGTAACAGATTATGTTGTTGGTTGGTTTTCTGGGATCTTGTCTCATAGCCCAGGCTTGCCTTAAATTCCCTATGTAGTTAAGGCTAATCATCCTGCCACTACCTCCCGAGAGCTGAATTATGGGCGTGCACACCACTCCTGGTTCTAGTAACACATTTTGCAAGAACTGGAAGAAAAAGAGAAGCCAACAGGAACTTACAGCAAAAGATAGGAAAGAAGTCACAGCATTTCCACAAAGCTAGCATTTCAATGGTCTCAAGGGAAGGAAAGACACAGGCAGAGCTGAGCTGAGACTGCGTCTCAGCAGAGGCCAGGAGGCTTTTAAAGAAACTTCTGCAACGCGTGTGCTGTGCAAGAATTAGTTGTATTTTTGACTTTTCCCATCCCCAGCTATTCTGAAGCTCTACTGGGAGAGCAATGATCTATGTCCATGGGTGATGATTTCAAACACACATGATCTTTGTCTGGCAGTCTTCCTGGCATGATTTGTCTGTTTCTACTTGGTAGTGGTGTTGGGGTCTGATCCTTACACCAGCTAAGCACAGCATTTTTCACTAAGCCACTTCCTCGGCTCCTTCCTGCCTTTTGTGTGTGTGTGTGTGTGTGTGTGTGTGTGTGTGTGTGTGTGTGTGTTTATTATAATTTAGTCTGTGTGCAGGTGTGTAGAGGTCAGAGGACAACTTGTGGGAATCAGCTCTCTCCTACCGTGTGGGTCCCTGGGATTGAACTCAGGCTGTCAGCCTTGGCAGCAGAAGCCCTTACCACCCAGCCTGCCCACCTGTGCTTTTAATCCTACAGTCACCTCATCAAAGCACCCCATCATGCCTCCTATGAGGCTACAACACCAGCATTAAGTGTCTTTCTTCAGACTTGAACCTATACTGAGGAAAGGTGTGACTCCTTGCCCTTCTCTCCTACTTTTCACTCCTTAACTTCCTGGCCTTCTCCACTGTCTTGGCTGCCAGGTGAGGGGATGCTGAATACACAGAGTTTCTTTTCCCACCAGTTGGCTTCATGCTCTTTGAGCTCTCAAGTGCTTTCCTGATCCTGGCAGAGACCTCTCCTCCCTGACTGTCCACTTGATACCCTTCGATTGATCTGCAGGCACTAGGCAGCCTACGTCCGGACCCTCTTCTGCTGAGGTTTCCTGCTGATAGCCTGTTGGACAATTATGACCCCTCGGCAGGACTCGTGAGAAATATTCAGGCCCAGCTTTGCCTTCAAAGTACTTAGCTTTGGGTCCAGAGAGACGACTCAGCGGCTGAGAACACTTGTTGCTCTCGCAGAACCCACGATTCAATTCCCAACAACCACATGGCAGCTCACAATCATCTGTCACTCCAGTTTCTGGGGATCTGATGCCCTTTTCTGGCCTCCACAGGCACAAGGCACACATGGTATAGAGACACATATGCAGGCAAAACAGATACACATTTAAAATAAAAATAAAAAAATTTTTAGAGTAGCTCTAAATTTCCAAGGCAGGAGTTGGACCCCAGTCTCTATCCTCATTCCACTTTGTCCCTCAGGCCTGCCACAGGCACGGATGTCCTGAGTCTCTCAGCCGCAGACAGCACACCTCCAAACTGAGTTAACTTCCTAAAATTTCCCTCGACAGAATGCCAAGGGTCACATCCCTAGCCTTCTGCCAAAATGGGGTTGGCACCAGTACTCTGTGACTTAGTGTTTCATGTTAAAGTAGCTCCCCCCAAAAAAAAAACTTACTGAAATAAACGAACATTTAGTCTCTTGCACAACCATTCCAGGTCAGAAATGGGACAGTTCTGCTTCAGTGTCTGAAACTGTGGTCCACCTGCCACAGTGACCGAGGATGGAAGACAGCTTCCACAGTGATTCACTCAAGTTGCAAATTGGTGCAAGGTGATTGCAGGAGGCCTTGGGGTCTCCTCTACCTGGGAAAATCTCCACAGGTGTTGAGCGTTCTCAGGCTATGGAGGCCAGATGCTGGCAGAGAGAGCGAATCCAAAAGACCAAGGCAGAAGCACCAATGCCCACTCCAACCTGTACCCAGAAGTCACACCCTGTCCCTCTGCCATTCTGAACCGGGTTTGCCCACCAGTTTGGACTCAATATAGAAGACACTGTACAAGAGCACAAGTGGCAGATAATGAGGAATGTTAAGGCCTGTTGCAAACTGCCTACCACACTCTTCTGCACTTCAGATGAATGCCTTTCCTCATATCCAGTTGAACCAAGAGCAAAAAAAGAACAGAACATCTAGACTGATTCATTAAAAACAAAACAAACAATAACCTTTGGCACAACCACTTCATTGCACTTTTTTTAAGTGGGGGAGTAGTGTGACCTCGCAAAGCACAACACTTGCACTGTGCTGTATCCTCAGCCCTTCCTTGGGAGACTTCTTTAGAACTGTGAGTCTGACGCCGGAGGGACACATCAGGGGTTAAGAGCATCCACCTGCACTGCTCTTCCAGAGAACCTGGGTTCAATCCCAGCACCCACATGGCAGCCAACAACTATCCGTAACTCCAGTTCCAGGGGATTTGATCCCTTCTTCTAAACTCCTCAGACAGCAGGTAAGCATGTGGTGTGAACACAGACATGCATTCTGGGAAAACAATCATACACACAAAATAAGCTCAACTATTTAAAATTGTGTATGTCACCCGACACTCTCCACATACGTTCCTCAGCTCCACATGGGCCCAGGGTTCTCTAAAAAGGAAGGCAGGGTCTTTTCATTTTTAAACTTCACTCTACATAATAATCAGTGAACACAGCTCTAACACAGAAGTGATCTGTTAGAGGTTCACATTTACATTAGAATTGACAATTCAGTAGGAACCTAAGGTGAGCCATTGTAAGAATCACCTGTCGTATTTATTTTAGAATGATAATTGAAATCAAATACATTTGGGCACAGTAGATATTTGACATGAAAAGCAGTTGTATCAGAATGGTCATCAGAAAAATAGTAACATTTTACACAAATGAACTAGAAAATATTTTTCTGTCTGATCACTTGAGTTAGAAATCCTGAGAATGTTACTAACTGAACAATTAAGTTCTACCTCATAACTGAAATCTGCTTAGAAAGAATTCCTTTTAAAAAAATGCTCTGAGGGCCAGGCAGTGGTGGCTCGTGCCTTTAATCCCAGCACTCTGAAGCAGAGGCAGGTGGATCTCTCTGAGCTGGAGGCCAGCCTGGTCTCTAGAGTGAGTTCCAGGATAGCCAGGGCTACTCAGAGAAACCCTGTCTCAAAAAAAACAAAAAAACAAAAACAAAAATGGAACAAAACAGAACAAAAAAAGGTCTGATGTACAAATCACCTACATATTCAACATGAGTCCTCTACATTTTACAAAGGATTTAAACAAATAAATTGAATCCTTATAGGCCTCTGGCTCTTGAGATGGTATCAGTCAGGCTCAAGGACGCACTGTTCCACAATTTCCCGTAGGTTGGGGTTCTCCATTGCAGCTGCCACTCGCTCTTTGTCATTTATCTGCTTGTTGACTGCAAAACACGTGGACAAAAGTTAACAGAACTGTGTCAACAGAGACCTCAGACAGCATTTGTGCAGCCTGCTCAAACGAAGAATTTAACTCCCTGAGACCTTCAGCTAGTAGACCTTCAGCAGGCGGTTGAAGATTGTTCTCTTATGTGTGCACACACAGGTATGTGCACTGCTCACAAGTGCTTATGGAGATCTGGAGAGGGCACTGGGTCCCTAGGGCTGAAGCTCTAAGCGACTGTGAGCTACACTGGTGGTCTTCTCTCTGCTGACTGGGAATCCTAAGCGTACGGTCACCCCCAACTCCCATCCTAGCACATTAACTCAAACAGACAACCCCTCCCTGACAAGAGTCCCGGATGGCGACTTGTCAGACTCCCAGTTCCAACTCAGCACATAGCTAAGGGGCTGTCAGTACAGAGCCAAGCCTTCAGAGCTGGACACGTTTACAGATCTTTATGTAGCCTAAGGCCAGAGCCAGTTAATATTCATAGGCTCCAGCGTACTGGACCCAGTGAAATGAATGTCTGGGCTTCCCCACCTGTGAAGGAAGAATATAACTGATGCTGTCCCCTCTTTCTTTTCAGGGCACCCCAATAGATAACCTAGTACCCCAAGATAAAAAAAATATTAGCTGTAGCTGTTTTTCACTTACTGTCTTCTTCTGTAGAGTGAGTTCCTTCAGAAATGTAGATTTCCAACTGGAGAGAAGAGAGGCAGAAGGAAAACATCAGGTGAGGGGCATGCAGGACAGACCCAGGATGGAGGGTAAAGCCCAAACCCTGTTCCTAACATCAGGGCCTGACAGGATGGAGCCAATGGTAGCATTTCCACTAACTGACCTGCAATGGGCATGCCCCTGGATTTCTGTATGAATACACAGATCTCACTGTGATCTTAGCCCTACCTCACCCTATCCCCAAATCTGTATATAATCCACTCTCTGTTTCATCTTTCAGGGGCACCATATCAACAACCCAGTGCACCGTTATTCTTTCTCCTTTACATACACAAACTCTTACATTTTTCTTTTATGCATAATTTATAAACATACACACAAAGTTACTGTTTCACAAAATTGAGACAAATATGGGTTTTTCATCCTCCTTTTCCTCTGCTATCTTGCTAAATTTATTCCCAAGTATAATACCAGTAAAGCCATTTCATCTAGCCTTGCTAGCCTGACAAATTAGTCAACCCTAAGCACAAGAGCTTTTGATACAACCACAAGACTGTTGAAAATCCTGTGGCTGAGGCAAGCCTGTGCAGAAGGAAGCACAGATCCGCCACAGAGATCAACGCTTTCCAGTGGAAAACGCTTAAAACCTATTACAGCTAATAGAGATCTTAGAACCATCTAGTTCAGTCTCTCTCTCTCTCTGGCTTTTGTTGTTGTTTGTTTGCTTGTTCATTTGTTTGTTTGGAAACAGGGTTTCTCTGTGTAGCCCTGGCTGTCCTGGAACTAACTTTGTAGACCAGGTTGGCCTCGAATTCAGAGATCCAAGTGCTGGGATTAAAGGTTTGCACTACCAGACCCAGGTCAATTTGGTCTCTTTTAAAAACATATAACATGAGCTTCTGAGACGGCTCAGTATGTAGATGTGCTTGCCATACAATCCTGATGACCTGAATACAATGCTTGGAACCCACATGGACAGTGAGAACCAAGTTGTCCCCTGACCTCCACACATGTGCCATGGCACACACACACCCTCACTCACACACACACACAATTAAAAAGACCACCATCCAGATTCCCCCAGTGGCACAAAACTCTTACTTATTGAACCCAGGAATAAAAAAGAAAATCAAAATTTTAACTTTGGTTAAAAATTACACATGACTCATTATTCTGAAACAGCCAAAGGCTGGGCAGAGTGGCAGATGCCTTGTAATCCCAGCATTTAGGAGGCAGCAGCAGATGGATCCCTGTGAATTTGAGGCCAACCTGGTTAACACAGTGAGTTCCAGGACAGCCAGAACTATACAGTGAGATCCTGTTCCACAAACAAAAACAAAACAAAAGGCTAACAAACAGAGGTGAAGAGTCAAGCTTTTACCCCCATTCCTATGAGAATTATTAATATACCTCAGTATAACCAAATAGTTAATGAGGCAACTATCATCAATAACAGGACAAAGCAAAACTACAGCCTCTTCATGACATGTAATGAACACATAATTGTTTTCTTGCCAAAAATGAATAACAGTCTAATCATGAAATCCTGAAACCCCCAATTGAGAAAGAACCTATAAAATGTCTATACGCTTCAAAAGTGTCACAATTGCCAGTTGTGCTGGTGGGTACTTATAAATCCTGGCACTTGTGAAGCTGAGGCAGGAGAACAGCCATGAGTTCAAGGTTAGCCTGGGCTACATAATGAGATCCTGTCTCAACAACAGCAAATCAAAATCATGAAAGATAGAGAATAAGGAACTACTCCTGCCTGAATGAACTCCAGACTAACTACTGAGAACCTGAGGGGAAGGGCAGTAATGGGAGGGTAGACTACCATTAAGGGTATTATTGGACTGCAGACATAATTATATAATAATTATATATACTTTTTAAAGATTTATTTGTTTTATTTTTTTAAATAATTTATTTTATTTTATGTGCATCAGTGTGAAGGTGTCTGATTCCTTGGAACTGGAGTTACAGACAGTTGGGAGCTGCCATGTGGGTTCTGGGAATTGAACCCGTGTCCTTTGGAAGAGCAGTCAGAGCTCTTAACCACTGAGCCACCTCTCCAGCCCCTATTTGTTTTATTTTTGTGTATGAATGTTTTGCCTACACGTATGTATGTATACCATGTGCCAATGGAAGGCAAAAGAAGAAAAGAACTGAAGTTACAGATGTTTGTGAGCCACCATGTGGTTGCTAGGAACTGAACTCAGGTCCCCTGGAAGAGCAACCAGTGCTCTTAACTACTGGGTCATCTCCTGAGCCCCAAAACAATACTTTTAACAAAAATTAGAAACAACTCAAATGTTTAAAAACTGATAAGAAAGTAAAATAAAACAAGGTCTCTCTATATAATGGAGTATTATACGACAATACAAAAGAATAAAACACATAATTTAAAACATAAACACTGAAAACACACTACGTCAAAGAACCCACACACTGTGTAACTTCATTAAAGTGAAGACAGGAAATAGATGGTTGTTCTAATACAGAGAGGGGGACAGAGTAAGAGTAGAATGACTGCTAATAAGTATAGGCTTGCTCCTTCCTTCCTTCCTTCCTTCCTTCCTTCCTTCCTTCCTTCCTTCCTTCCTTCCCTCCCTCCCTCCCTCCCTCCCTCCCTCCCTCCCTCCCTCCCTCCCTTCCTTCCCATTTCTGATACAGGATCTGGCTATGTAGCCCATCCCATCTCAACCTCCCAAGTGGTGGCATCACATTTATATATTACCACACTTGACTGGATCTTTTGCAAGTGATGCAAATGTTTTAAAAATGACTCGGAGAAGGCCGCAGAATCCTGTAGAAGTCATCAGAAACCACTAAGCTGTCCACTTCAGGTGGCTTACATGATGTGTGAATTCTATCTTAACAGGCGTCATAAAAGACAACCTGGACTAGGGATGTGCTCAGTGGCAGGGCAGTGGCCTGGCTTGTGTGAGGCTCTGGGTTCAAAACAGTAACAAGAGCTGGGCAGTAGTAACACACGCCTATAATTCTAACACTCAGGAGGGCAGGAGAATCTCTGTGAGTTCGAGGCCAGCCTGGTCTACAAAGCAAGTCCAGGACAGACAAGGCTACAAAGAGAAACTCTGTTTCGTGGGGGGTGGGGGGTGGAAAAACAATTATATATAAAACAAGCTTTCTTACCTTGTGTTTGAATGGCAGGCACCGCTGAAGTTTTACTCTCAAGCACAATCCTATGATAGGAGAGAAAAAAAATCTTCCATTACCTTCTTACTAGTTCTAAAAAAGCATAAAGCTTAGACTGCATCCACATACTATATGACAGCTGAAAAGAGCCCTGCTCATGAGTTTGGTACCATAAGGAACTTTAGAAGAGTTTCACTGTCCCCCAGAAAACCCAGGGAGCTGGGTCCATCCTATACATGGTGAACCCAGGTCACATTGTAACCTGCGCAAGATGGCTGGAGATAACACAGCAGAGTCAGGACTGACTGGAGCAGAGGACCACAAGGCTAGGCCTTTTCTGCTATGCCGATTGGTACTCAAGCATAATAAATTAATTCATTAGGATTTATTAAATACCACTGGTAAGCCAAGATATACAAAAATTAAAAACCAACTATATTTAAGACCATTTTAACAGTCATCAAGATGGCTTAGCAAGTAAAGGCAATTGCTGATAAAGTGGAGACTTGAGTTTGATCCCCAGAACCCACAGAGAGGTGAATGGAGGACTGACTCCTGCAAGTTGTCTTTTGACCTATACACATGTGTCATGGCATAAGCATACCCATGCATATACACACATAAATATTAGAAAATTAGGGGTAGGAGAGTTCAGTGGTTAAGGGCACTTGCTTTCTGAAGACCCAGGCAGTTGTCGGCACCCACATGATGGCTCACAGCCATCTGTAACTCCAGTCTTAGGGAATCGGATACCCTCTTCTGAGCTCCTCAGGCACCAGATGTGACCATGTGCTCATACATACATGGAGCAAACACATTCACAGACATAAAGAAAAATAAAAAATGAAGTTTCTAAACAATATATTAGTAAATTAAAAAAAATCATACATGGGCATGGCTGATGCATACCTTTAATCCCAACACTTGAAAGGCAGAGGCAGGCAGATCCCTAAGTTTGAGGCCAGCCTGGTCTATAGTACATAGTGGGTTCGAGGACAACCAGGGTTTCATAGTAAGTCTCTCTCTCTCTCTCTCACACACACACACACACACACAAAGAAAAAAAGGAAAGGAACTATAATTCATATGCATGGGACCGGGGAGAAGGCTCAGGGTTAAGAGCACTGGCCAGTCTTTAGAGGCCCTGGGTTAGACCCAGCACTAACACGAGCAGCTTGCTACTGTCTAAAATTCCCGTCCAGAGGACCCTCTTCTGGCTTCTGTCGGCACTGCATGCACATGGTGCACAGACATACGTGCAAACACCCATATAAAAATTTAAAAAGAATTCATGTGCACACCCACACTTACCAATAAAAAACAGAATTCACATGCACCCCCCACACACAGACACAGACCTGCCCCGCCTCACATGCACTTTTACACACACACACACACACACACACACACACACACACACACACACTCTCTCTTACCAATAAGAGTTGCCAGAGAGCAATGAGGTACTGTTGGCGTGAACTTGATAATAACCAAATAGTCTTCTTCATTTATTTCTTGAACCTCTACACAACTCTCTGTTACCACTTCAAGTTCTTCTAAAGTATTGGGTTTTTCAGGGTCCCGAATAGTTCGAATCAAATCTAGAGGCATAAGAGACAAGGCATTAAATTAAAATATAAATATCCTAAGTGAAGATGAGTCCTCTCATCTCAACTGAAGCTCTATTTTCAAAGATTTATTTTGATTTTATGTGTGTGTTTTGCTTCTAGGTATGTCTGTGCCTGCAGTGCCCACAGAAGCCAGAAGAGGGCTCAGACCCTCTGGAATGGCAGTTACAGATGGCTGAGTTGTCGTGTGGTTGCCTGGAACTGAACCCAGGTTCTCTGCCAGAACAGCCAGTGTTGAGCCATCTCTCATGCCCTGACCACCTGACCCCAACTTTCTTTTAAACAAATATTTCAGCAATTCCCAAGTTTCTGGCAGAAATTTCCACTACTAGTTTCCTTTGAGACAATAATTTTCCTGGATAATTATTAGACCATATCTTTTGTTTTGTTTTGTTTTTTGGTTTTCCAAAACAAGGTTTCTCTGTGTAGCTTTGGCTGTCCTGGACTCACTTTGTAGAGCAGGCTGGCCTGAAACTCACAGAGATCCGCCTGCCTCTGCCTCCCAGAGTGCTGGGATTATAGCTCCACTCATACCCAATTCTTAATTCAAAGCCAAGGGGAATATAAATGGGGAAAACATTAAGGGAGCACCAGAGGAATTTTGGCTAGACAGAAGGTGGAATTAAGCTTTTGAAAATGAGCAGCCTTTCAATATTTCACACTTAAACTGAAGGAAAGAACCACTAGGTGTTTCCTTAGCTTGTTGCTGGTGAAGGAAAGTTAAAAAAAAAAAAAAAAAAAGGCGGAGCCCAAAACCAGGGTCTTTCACAACTAGAGCAGTGAACTGAAAAGGACAGTGCTGTACTGTCACGGGCTAACGGCTAACTTACACCAGCTAACTTACACCAGCTGCAGGACCCAGAACCAAACAGCAGAGCTAGAGACAGCCACTGAAAAGCTAGGCCTAAAATCAGCCCATGAAAACAGGAACAGGGATGGGACATGCAACTAAGCGGGTTCAGAGGAATGGACTTTGCATCTGGAAGTCAAGACAGAGAAAATAGGGAGATGACTCAGATTTTAAGCTCAGTTATTTAGGAAAATAGTATTAAGATTAAAAAAAGGGGGGGGGGTCCTAGAGGCCGGCTAGGGAAGGAGACCTGAGTTTTCCCACACAGTGGAAAGACTAACAGCAAGTTAGTTCAACTTCATATGTATTGATTCTGGAGGTGCTTCAGGCACAAGCCAATGAAATGTTCCAGCAAATGTTAAACTACTCCATAAGTGCACACAAGTCTAGAGTGGTTGTTGAACTCATGAAATCTATCCGGAATGAGAAGCACTTGGCTGGTTATTGTAGTTACTGGGAGTGCTTTGAAACAAAAATGCTGTCTGGGCCCTACCCTAAGGAATTCTGATTTAAGTGGTTTAAAGCATGGTCTGAACAGCTCGAGTTTTTTTTAATTCCTCAGATTATTTTCCTAAAATTTCATTGTGTTTGTTATTGCTTTTGTGTTTGGATATTTTGCCTACAGGTATACTTGTGCACCAGGTGCATGCCATCTGAAATTGGCTTCAGATCCTCTGGAAGTTAGGACAGTTGTGAGGTACCAAGTGGGTGCTGGGAATCCAACAGCGGTCCTCTGCAAAAGCAACAAGTGCTCTTAACTGTTGAACTATTTCTCCTGCCCTCTCAGGTCATTCTTATATGCAGCCTAGTTTGAGACTCCTTGGCGTAAAGTTGGCCGTGGTGGCACATGCCTATAATCCTGGCACTCTGGAGGTTGAAACAGGAGGATCTTCAATTCTAGGCCATTCTAGGCTACACACTGAGACCCTGTCTCAAAAAAAAAAAAAAAGACAAAAATGGAAAAGTAAAGAAGAATAGAGAAGGGAAAAGAGAAGTGTTTAACAACATCATATGCTACAGGAAAATTTGAATTTAAGGCCATCCTGGGCTACATAGTGAGACTCTCAAAAAGAAAAAAGGACCAGAATGAAAAGCAAAAAGAATCAGAAAAGGAAAGACAGAGGTAGTTAACATAAGAGGAAAACTCAGGTTAAAATGTTCTTTGATTTGTTGGTCACCAAGTCACTTTAAGAAAGCAGTCTGGTAGAAAAGTGAAGTACAAAGGGGGAAGCCAACAGAACAGAAAACACATTCCTAAGGCCTTGGTTGGAGGGGGCGGGGCAGAAGCTTTATACAGAAGCTACGTGACAAAGATTAGGGACATTCGAGTATGTTTTAGTTCAAAGGTAAGGAACAATGAAAGGAGGTCAGAACTATGAAGGGAGACTGGAAAAGCAAAGCAAGAGAGAAGAGAATTAATGTTGGACCTTGCACTGGCAGTGGCAAGGACAAGAGTTCATCTTACCTCGAGCCTACAGAAAATAAATAAATAAATAAGTGGAGACTGATAAAGACAAAGTGAAGACTGGAGAAAAGCAGGATGACCCCCCACCTGCCACCTCACACTCCCCCATCATAAAAGGAGCTATAAAAACAAATCAATCAAACTTTCCCTCCCCAGGCTAGCTTTTGGCCTTGCCAATAAAATAGAAAATGAATTTGGAAATACAGACAGGAAAGATTTTCTTTTACTTAGCAGGCTATTATGGGATTTGGGAAAGCAGGTTTTCCTTCTCCTATCCTTAACTTTCCCTTCTAAGCTTAATTTGTAAATGCTGTATTATATTCTTTGAATACTACTAAATCCTAAAATTAAACCTTACCCCTTATTAAACATCTCCAGCTTTCTAGTGATGTGACAAGTTTGGTTTCTTTAAAAAGATATCAAGCTTGTTCTCACACCACACTCCCATGCTCCCTTTACCCCCAACCAAAAGTTTTGGTTGCTCCGTACTGACACTAACATCTGCTCTTCCAGAGAACCTAAACTGAGGTCTTAGCATCCACAATTGGCAGGACACAAACTCCTGTAACTCCAGCTTCAGGGAGATCCAACCCTTTTGGCCTCCATGGATACACACACACAAACTTTTTTTTAAAAAACTTAATATTTAAAAGGAAGATTCTTTCATTTATATTTAAAAGTTTCAGGGTGGGGGCAGGGTGCCGAGATGACTCCGAAGGTAAAGAGGCCTGCCACCAAAGAGGCTTAACCTCCTGGGTTCCATGTTGGAAGGAGAAAACTGACTCTTGCAAGTTGTTCCCTGACTTCCATATTTTCACTGTGACGTGAATTTGTATGTGCAAACACACACAAAGTAAATAAACACAATAAAAGTCCATTAAAACTTCAGTATTCAATTCCAATCTACTATCTAAAGAGACACACCCACCTGCAATCACTGACTCTCGGGTACCTCCTTCTGGACTGCTAATCCCCTATATATCTTCTCACCTCCATATTTCACTCCAGTTTCTTTAGCTTATACAACCTCTGACATATCCAGGTCCATATCCTCAAAGCCCAACTCAAGTAAGGAACATCTTTCCTGATGTTTCTGGTCTCTGTTTCCTCTGAATGTTGCTATCTCCTACTTAAACTTATGACCTCCTATTTGTATACACTATTTTTGCATATGTTGGTGTCACAAAATATAAACTCGAGGACTAGAATCATCTCTCCAGCAGAATTGTATCTCCAATGCCCTGAAGTCTCCAAATTACATCGAGGTAATAGTAGGATAGGAATGTTTTGTGGAGATAGCACACTAGTAATTATCTTCTGCCTGGGGTTAAGTCAGTCGTGCCTCTACCAACAGATAAGGAAGCCTGATCAGCTCCCCGGGTCATTCCACCCTTAGAATCATTCTTCCTGGTCCATAATCCTTACCCAAATTGTATCTGTATGACCATATCTCTTAGTGCGACAACTAGGCCTTTCGGTTTCAAAACTAAGGCTAGCGGTGGAGCACGCCTAGCTTATATGAGACCCTGGATTTTCTCCCTAAACCAGACACGTAATATTACAAATATTACAAATCGTCGATGGAGGGCAGAGAGGGACAGGGGTGGGAGGGTCAACGGTGGAGGAGGAAAGTACATCTGGATGAACAGGCAGTACATCTGGAATCACAAGTTTGGTTTTCTCTGTTCCTTACTGCCAATATGATTTCCAGGTACCCACTCCCCTCACCCCACTCCCTCATCTACACATGAAGGCAGTCCCTCGAAGTGGAGAGTTTATCTGACAGAACACACACACACTAGCTTGACTGTGTCAGAAAACTGTAAAATTGAAGCCTCACTCTGAGATACCTGTCCCCACCTCTTCACTTCCTATTGACTCTGTAACAGAAGAAAGTGGCTGTGACCTTGGGCCAGTCCCCAACTCGGCCATTACCCAACAGTGGCCTCAATTATGGCGGAAGGAGCGCGTGTCCAGTAGCTAAAGAAGTAAAGACCCTCGAGTAGCGCAATCTTAGGCCAACTTTGCTAGTTGACCACTGTAGGCCTACACGTCATGACCTAGTCCCTACAGTGGTGAGCAGTCCAGGGGAATGAAGTGTTTTTTAGTTCCAGGCTCAATTTCGGACCAGGTCTAGGCATTACCCGGGTCCTAGAATGACCGACATGCTGTGTGACTTAGGACCCGGAAGAACACGCGTCCTACTAGGTCTGGCAAAACCCCCAAGTGTCCACTCCAACCCAAAGGTGGGGCCCTCCTCCACCCCTCTCAAAGCCGCCTCTGCAAATAATGCCAAATGCTGCTCTGGGAAAAGTTAATTACCATAAACTTCTAGCGCTTTCTCTTCCATGATCCGGGGCTGCCGGGCAGCTCCCTGCTCAGAAAAGCCTGAGAGCCATAGGACTCTGCTCAGCGTCCAGGAGAGCAGTCCAGACACACGCTCCATCATCACGTTCCGCCATCCCTGGCGACTGTCCTAACCGAGCCACCGTCTTTCCGCAGCCGGCCTCAGGAGCTATCAACTTCAAAGGCTTCAAATAAACTAAGACATGTGTAAAGGTTTAGAGGAGCGGAGAGTAGGCGGGACTCAAAAACAGTAACGCGAAGGACCTAGGGAAATTAACTGCAGAAACTACATGTCCCAGCATACTTTGCTCGGTTTCGAAGAGACAGGGGAAAAAACCACTCTTGCGGCCCGTTACGTGCATTGCATGCTGGGACAGTCTGAGGAGGAGGTAGTCCAGTGACGGCGAAATGCATTCTGGGACTTGCAGTCTCAGTCAGAGGACCATGTAACGGACTGTTAGGCGTCACCGAGTGCCCTACTCAGCTCCTAGGAGGAACTAAAGATGAATCCTAGAGAGGTAGGGGAAAGGAGATCAAGGTTATTAATGTTGGAGGGAATTCTAGAACGGAGACTATCTAGAACGGACAGCTATTTCACAAAGGAAGCCGCTTTCCAATAAAATCTTACTTCCTGATCATGCCGGAAGTGGATTTCCTTTGCGGTTAAAAGGCATATTTTGGGAGACCAGTGTTGACAGGGATGGCGAAGGGACAAGAAACACTTGGTTTTCTTGTCTCCTAGAGACTTAGTCCAGCTTAACTTCCCTCTACGGGGATTTTTTTGTATTAACCATCGCCTAACTTACAGAGAGAGAACTTTTTCTGTGTTCACTGTGTGTAATGATTTTATAACAGAGATCACGATCCTAAAAAAGCACTTCTTAAGCTTTCTTGTGTTCTGGGCTATGGTGTTCATGGCTATGGTGGATGCCAGTTACAGGGCTGATTGTGTTTCCAGCCTCAAATATTTATTAGACACTTAATTTGCCATACAGCGTGTATATGCAGGAATAAAAATTACAAGCTAAGACACTCTCTCGACGCTCCAGCAGTTTTACAGTCTGTGATGGAAGGCCTAGTGGCTCGCGCCTGTGATTCCAGCACTTGGGAGGGCGAGGGAGGAGCATTGCCATGAGTTTGTGGTCAACTTTGGATATAGAATTTCAAGCCTGCCTAAGTGAGACCTTGTTTCAACCAGAAAAGCAAACCGCTTTTGTTACTGTTAGTGGCAAGTTTTGTCTCCTTAAAAAGAAAGGATCATTTGCCCATGATAACATAACCTACATTATCCTTAAACTCTAGTTGACTTGGACTCACCAACCTATATGATTAGGTCCCAGGAACTTTTGATCCACTCCCAGCAATATCCCTGCCAGTTCACTTCATAGCCATCGAAAGGATAACGCCAAGTTCCTAAGGAACAAATTTAATACGCTGAGAGCTCCCCTTTGTGTGAAGCCTGGCTTCTCCCAAAAGAATCGAAAACCTCCCAAATGTATCAATAACCTCTTATTGTTGCGCACTGTAACACTGAGTGTGTTTAAATTCTTGGCTTACAAGACTGTCCCCTCATTAAACTGTGAGGACTCATTAAACTGTGATCCAGGAGCTTTTGTGTTTGTATTTGAAACCCACAGTAAGGTGCCAAGATCACAGTGAACTATTTGTATATACTGAATGAATTAATGTTCAAAGACTAAGTGGCAGAACTTCCTTCAGCCTTTTCAGACCTCAGTCAGAAACATATATTGAATATCTGTGAGCGCACTGTACTTGGCATGAGCGGGCGGAATGCAGAAGTTTTCAAACTTTTTTAGTCACAGACTTTTTAATTCAAACAAAACCTTAGAAGCGGGGCAAATGAAGTTATGCAGGGCACCGAGGCCCGGAGGAACTGGGCAGCCTCTAGCCCCTCCCCTGCCTGTCGGGCCGCCCGAGTGCAACGTTGCGGTTCGGGGCTCGGATTGGCTGGGCACCAGCTCAGGCCCCGCCCCCAGCGCCTCCCCCAAGCCCCGCCCCGCTGGTCCCTCCGGGTCGGTAACGGCCCTCTCGCACCTCTCACGCTGAAGCGCTTTGCTCGCGGCACTGTCTATAAAGTTGTTGTTGCTGCTTCCGCCACGGGTGGAGGAAGATGGCGTCGGGAGGTGGTGGCTGTAGCGCTTCGGAGCGACTCCCTCCGCCGTTCCCTGGCATGGATCCGGAGTCCGAAGGGGCTGCCGGGGGGTCAGAACCCGAGGCTGGGGACAGCGACACCGAGGGGGAGGATATTTTCACTGGCGCCGCGGCAGCCGTGAGTTCCCACCCTTGGGGCAGCAGGAAGGAGAACTCCCCCCAAAAGAGCAGAGGAGCTTATCAAGGGTTCGAGGGCTCCGAGGATAGTGGGCCTGTTAGGACGTCTTCGCCCGGTGTCAACAGTCAGGACTGCAGGGCCCTGAGTGGGAAATGAGCCCCAGAGCCGGGCTCTTCGAGCCGGGGCGGGAAGAGGAGACGAGGGGTGTGGTGGCTTCACTGTAGATCCTTAATAGCCAAGAGCAACCTAGGCCGTTCTCTGGCCCTGTGATGTGATTATCCCAGGGATCCACTGGGCAGTCTGCTGGTTGTGTCTTGGGAAGACTGACTTAATATGACAAATGAGAGGACGATGTGCAGACCCATCAGTTTTCGTGCCTTACTGCTCCGAAAGTGGAAACGTGATCTAGGGCAGTCTAGGATCATGACCCGCCCACTGGCCCCCTTGTTATACCCAGCACTTCCTGGTCATTGCCATTCTGGATCCTAGTTTATGAAAGTTAGGTTGTGACTCCTTTGATCTCTCGAAGAATCTGGCCCAAAGCCAGTTGAGAGAAGGCGCTGCCAGATAAATTACACGGACCAGAAAGCTTTGTTTCTGTTCAAAGAATACATTTAAGTGGTTGGAAACAGATCTGTACATATGAAGGGGAAAGATCTCCCAAATAAATATCCAGGTTTCAAATGAGAACTGGCTGCTGGCAAAACAAACCAAATCTGCTAGTCTTTCTATGTGGAATATCGTGAGTTAACAGTACCAGGAGAGATGTTTTGGGCTGTTTTATGAGAACACTGACTCATACCACTTGGTACAGTTAGTTCCAGCTTATAAACGTCTTCAGCACCGAGTCTGTGGATTTATCTTTCTGTCATGGTGGTTTCTTTTCAAAGGAGCTAATCAGTATCTAACTGCGTTAAACAACTTTAAATTCTATATACAGCATGTGTCTGAAAACTTTGAGGTGCTCCCTATGTCAGAAAAAGTTTTGATTTTGGAGGCACTTCTTCCATAAACATAGAATTGTACCATGTTGAGAAATTGAAGGTCACAATTTCAGCTCAAAAAGTGGTTGCTGGTGCTAATAACAGCAAATTGTCTAATGATGTCTGTTACTCAGAGAAAAAATAGCTCGCTGCTAATGTAGTCTTTATTTCTGTTTTTGGTAACTTTATAGAGTTACTCTCATAAATCATGGAGAACAGACACTGTTGATAACTGCTGGGATGATGAGTGAAATAACACTGAGGAGCGATTTTCTAGGGTTCTCGAGTGAAATTCAGGAAGCTGTGATTTTATTGACCTCATCCAGTTAGTTGACGGAGGCATGATATGTCTTTTTCTTAAGAATGTAGAAATCTTTGCCTCCTTCACAAAAAGTGAGGGAGGAGCTGGGTGTGGTGGCACACACCTGTAATCCCAGCACTCAGGGATGCCGAGGCAGGCAGAGCTCTGTGAGTGTGAGGTCAGCCTGGTCTACAAAGTGAGTCCAGAACAGCCAGGATGCACAGAGAAACCCTGTCTCTGAAAACCAAACAAACTGAGGGAGGGAAGGTCTACCACAGAAAGCAGGTGCTGGGGTCAGACCCAGCTCTTTTCCAATGCTAGACAAAGATTCTACCATTGAGCCATGTCCTAGGTAGCTAATTATCTTTAGATATGACCCAGAATACTAATCTTCAAGAAACCAAGGCTTCATATTAATGAGCCATTAATTATAATTAAGGGGGGGGGCCGCTGTGTCACAAGTTCAGGGTCAGCCCAGGCACAGAAGTCTTTGAAGCCTGATGTTCTGGGTACAGAGTCTTTGAAGTCTGATGTTAATCTAGGCTGCACTCCTTGCTATTTTAACTTTGGTTTTTGTTTTGTTGTTATTATTTGAGACAGGTTCTCATGTAGCCAGGGTTGGCTTGGACTTCCAATCAGTCCTCCTGCCTCCACTTCTGAATGGTAGGATAGGCATGCTTCACCAAGCACAATTTTGCTAGCTTAACTTTGGACAAAGTATGCTGTAAGCTGTATTTTTTATATACTGAGAAAAAGGAAAAATAAGTATCTGGGTGTGGTAAAATCTCAACACTTGGAAGACTGAGGCAGGAGAATCGAGAGGCCACGTTGGACTTCATGGCACATTGTCTCAGGAGACTGAATAAAATAAATAGGGACTTGAGCATCCTGAGGAATGGGCAGGTAAGAGGTTTGTAGTAGAGTCTCTCTCTCACACACACACAGCCTGTCAACACGAGGGTGGTATATATACCACTGTTTTTATGAGGGTTAGGATGTGAAATACTGGGAACAGTTGTTTCCACACAGTAAATATTTAAAGAACCTTAACTGTTTTGGAGAGCTTGGGCTGTATTCGTTGATGAGTGGCATTTCTGAGTCAAAACTTCCACAAAACTAATAATAAATTAGAAAAATTAATATTAAACTGGTTTATTATCAAAGCTAAATAATAAGATTGATTTGATCAACTAAAAGTCATCAGAGCAGATGTTCCTATTGTGATTTGCTAACATTTTAGAGGCAAAGGAATAGACACTGAAGAATTGGGAAGCTGAGGCATGTAACATTTAAAACTAATTTATGGTATGCGTGTAATTTTCTGGACAGCTGCTGCTGTTAATCATCCCATCTGCTCTCTTCTACGCCAAGAAGCCATGTCACTACAGTAATAAAAATGTGATTTGAGATACATCTCAGAATATATAAGCCATTCATCTGAGTAGGATGTCCTGAAATTGAAAGAATCATGAAAACAAGTCTAAAGTTAATTTTAAAAAGTTAAAAAAAAAAAATGTCTGAAATTGTATCCAAATCCTGGATGTGGACTTAAATCCAGATAATTATTTCTTGTAGAATAGGGTTTCTCTCTTGGTAAAATAAAGGACTAAATTAGAGCCATTGCATTTCTAAGTTCTGGATGTCATGCTCCAAAGGTGGAAAATGGCACACAGGTTTCTACGCCTCAGGGGGCTTCACTGGTCTGCTTCCTCTC